GAACTTTGCCCATTTTCGTCCTTCATTTCTAAGAAGAGGTCTACGGAAACCTTATCATTTGATTATTGAGGCTGCTAGTCACCGTTTTATTCACTGATGAGTGAATATAAATTAGGCGTTAAGTAATTCAAGTTATTTTCAAGTTTCCAAGTGTTGATTTGGAGGAATTCGAGTGATTTGGAGTTTGTCCACAAATTGACTTCAGTTAGAGTACAATTGAGAACCAGGAAGTACTGACTAGCTCTTTCATCATAGTTAAGGAATCTCCAGCAATGTTCATCCAAGACCTCATTATCGATTGAATCCGGGACCATCAGATTACGAAGCCAAGTCATTTGTGCAGGAATTGTGACGCATGGGTTTCTGAACATCACCCTGCGTGGTTAAGCAAAGGACAAACAAAATTCATTCATAGTTCTCTCTATTCCATCCATCTCATCTCGTGGATACAGAACACAAGACTGATGTTAACGAGGCAGCTTTCAAAGTCATCTACCGCATACCATCCAATTCTAATTAATTTCACCTTAAGAGTTCGTCCACTATATATTGCTTAGGCTGGCTGTTGGGATCCACATTAAGAAACCTAACTTTTGTATCTTAACGAAGTTGGTTGGTTTTCATTAATCAAACCGCTGTTTATATATATTATATAGTTTATATTCGTTAACGTATCACTGAGCTTGTGATTTCGGGTTTACATTAAACGACATGAAATAGAAGGTTCAAATATACATAGTATTCTTTTTTTAATGCAGTATATAATCGTGAGAAATGTTTTCTGTCTAACATCGAATCGAATGTTCACATAGATATATCATATTCCGTTGCTATTGCCGACTTGAACTGTGGGAATATGTAAGCATAACATTCCGTTCGCACACATTGTCTCTATCACACAACCACACACTTATTTTACTTAACAAATCGGTAGTATTTAAAAACATCAATATTGTTAGTGTTGTCTATTCTAGAATATTCTATGTCTACAAACATATGTATATAATAGCAGAGTTAGAAGAGGAAATTATCGAAAAGGATATTCTTTATTTAATGTTTTTTGCTTTTCTATATATCTGAATGAATATTTTCGCTATTTTGAATTCTGACAATTCGTGACATAGCACTACTGTCAGTCAATGAGACTTTGATGAGCAGGCACTTCACCTTGACATGGTAAACCCCGCTGGCCACGACTTCTTATCAGACCTTCAGGAAATCCATTCAGTAGCTAATGAGCTAATGAGCTAGTGATCAATACATAGATGACGGATTTTTGTATAGATATGAAATAATTTCAATGTAGATTTTGTTACGAACGATAGAAAAAATAAAAATAGGAGAATGTTTACATAGCAAATGAGGCACACACAAAAAAACCCCAGAAAGTAAACATCAATCTGCAGTTCATTAATGGCTACTGGATGAAGTCTGTGAAGCCACTGGGATCCACCATGTCTACGTGAAATGGATGTATGGCATGTGCTTTATGAACACAGACTGATAGGAAGCGGCTAAAATTGAAATCAACACTTGGATTAATTCTCTCTTCTGACCTATCCTGGTCCTCCCATGTCTTAGCGATTTCTAAAAGAATATTTCGTCTGACTTTTTACATTAAGAAGTTAAGGCACTCAGGCCTAACCCAACCCCTCCTCTTACAGTTTGTCAACTCATACATCGTACCTATTCTTCTTTACTATTTACCCTTATTCTTTCCTGGATTGCTTAAAAAAGACTATGTCATACTTCGTAGAAGTCTAAAGACTGTCAGTAGGGCGAGTGGTATCCAATTGGGCCATATCGTTGACACTATCATTGATAGGCACTTGCTGTCATGCAACAAATTCGTTAAAGGAATTTTGTCAGACTCTGAGCACCCACCGCAGAACCTGCAGCTCCAATCTTGTGTCTCCTCAGGTAAAACAAGAAGCCTTTTCAGAAGACTTTATGCACGTACGTCCATTATACCATATTTGGCACGTACTTTATATGATGAAAATAGTGTTAGGCATGAACTAACTAACCTTCTTTGCACTAATAAATAAACCATTTCCTCCACCTTTACAACATCAAACTTTATTGTTATTGTATTTCTTATATTTATAGTCCTCTCAATTTTTTGTTTTTATTTGTTTATTTTTTCATAAGTGTGAACATCATTTAAGCTGTGTTATAACTGTTAATTTTGGATTTTCCCTCACCAAACTATTTCAACAGAACATTAGATTCAACAATCTATAACATGCTAAAATTTCCAAACTCAATCGACAATACTGTTTGAAACAAACCCACTGTTATTATTATTAGTAGTACATTTAATATTTTCAATTCGTGCTTCGAATACTTTGACTTTATATCGTAAATGTGGACAAATTCCTCTGGTTAATTTTATTTATATTTTTAATTTTATATATATTTTGAGTAAATCAGATGTAATGTCGTGACAAATGCTGAGAAATCCATTCTGTATTATAAGTACTGTTTTTGGAATAAAGCAGAAATATTATTATTCTTATTTATTCCTCAAATATGGATCTAGTTTATGTTGTGGACATGAAATAACCTTATTGGACAATTTGTTTAACCTTGGGCTAATAGCCAGCCAATCAGAACACTTTATTCTCCTCTGACGTAGCTAAGATTTTATATTCCCGCTAATTGTAGCGTCGTAGTACGTTGTTATAGTGGTTTAATGATAAGATATATTTTTGTTTGAATGCTCATTGAATGAGATTTTGCATCGAAAATCTTTCTTTTTTTTTCTGACGTACATATTATCGGTGGCATTATATTCTTGAATTGAGTTGCATTTTTGCTGCACTTCTATCAGACAATGTCGCTTGATGCTGATATCTTCACAATGCAATGGATTAAATGGGGTACTAAGTTCAAAAGTTGATTTTTATATTATTGAATTTTCATGAAATCCTGCTGGTATATTTTGGCGTAATAAACTGAAACTTCCTAGTATCCACCGGATAATAAAGTAGATGCTGCCACTACTTCAAAAAAGGGATATGTCACATATAACTGCCCATAAATGGTCTTTTAACAAGTACTCCAAAGTTTTCCAATGGTTCTTTAACCAATGTCAGCTCATAATGAAATCCTGTAACCAATCAACCAAATCCCTACAAACCAATACTTGAATATCAATGAGATGCTCACTGGCGACTGGCCCTATTCAGGTAGGTAGTTACCTGGGGTTCTAGTGAGAAGTCGTGACCAGTAGGGTGCAGCAGGTCTGGTGTGAGGACAAATACTCGCCGAAGACATTGGCTAGCGGTTGCGCTATATCGTGAATTGGCAGATGTTAGAATTGATGGGCCATTGGATCGGGTCCCAGTGGCTCAATGGTCTACGAGATCACAGGCCTTGTAACCGGAAAGTTCTGGGTTCAAACCTCCCGTGGTGGGTGCGTACTGATGAAGAGTCCCGAGCACTAGGACGAAACAGCTGTCCAATACTCCCAGGTTTTCCAATGGTTCTCTAACTAATGTCGGCTCATCATGAAATGATGTAACCAATTTTAACAAGTCTCTTCTGTCACTACAGATGCTTATTGAAAGCACTGATTGTTGGCGTTAGTGAAATATCAGAAGAATTCACCCAGGTCATTGAGTTCAAATCCAAATGGCTGAATGGTCAACGAACTTGACCTTGTAACTTCAGAGTCTTCTACTCAACTCTTGGTAGAGTTATTCATGTGAGCTGATGAATAGTCCCAAGATAGGACTAAACAACTGTCCAATGCTCCCTACAGATACCCCATAATATAAAAATAAGTGTATCTCAAAATAAATAATCAATATATTTATATTTTTATTTGTTCTTTTTTTTAACAAAAATATCAATCTTTGCTTAAAATTACTAAAATTATACATTAATAATAGGAATATTAATAACAATAGTGATAATGATAATAATAATCGTAATAATGATAGAGAAATCAGATAGATTTTAACTCAATTTTTTTATTATTGATCATTGAATAATTTTCGCTTTTGTCTACTATATATATAAGAAGAGAATAAAAGGAGAGAAATGAATAATACATTTGGATGAGGCATGCAGTTGGATGGAAGTTGGATGTGTGTGTGTGTGTGGCGGGGGGGGGGGATTGGTGAGGCGCATGTGGAAGTTGGATCCAAGGTTCAGTGTTAAGGCTTCAAGTGGGTCAGTAGAAGGTGCTATTTATAATTACAAACACAGAGGTAGTAGTAGTAGTAGTTTCGTCGATTCAAAGTAGGAGAAAGAAGTTGAAGATGCTAACGAACACACTTCAGTTGAAGGCATGGTGGTGGTGGTGGCGGTGGTGTGTGTTTGTGTGTGATGACAACCATACAATCGAGGTTGGGTAAGTTGTTATTGTATTTGAATTACAGATTTCTCTCACTCTGTTTGTCTTCTGTCTCATTCACCCCTTCACAAGAAGACATAACCAATTAAATATTCACAATGGGAAATAGAACTCTACATACATACATCATAGGATGAATATTAATTACTACATGTGATGAATAGCAATCATGTAAGAAAAATCAACAATTAACAATTGAACAATTATTTATTCTATTGTGTATGAATTATGCACAAAAATGAGAGCGAATACAGACACACACAAGAGAAGGGAGATATACAGACAGATAGATAGGTAGACAGACAGACATTATCATCATCCTGATTACTTATACTCGCGGAACAACAGTGGATGGCGGTAACCAATCAATGAAGAGCGAGTACAATAGGATCATATTTGAAATCTTTTTCTGTTGTTGTTGTTGTTGATGTTATTTCATTCAAAGCGGCACATAGAATTTATTAACAAGACTGTTTGTTTATCCTCAGAGAAACAGTCATCTAATTTGTGTTTTTTTCACCGTTATGTATTTGGGCATAGATTCAATTGACTGCTGAAACATCAATGGAGAGAGAGAGAATGAAATGAAGAAGTCTCTGACGGGGAATATATTCGTTTCTCGCTTACTCGACGATAGTTAACAGGATTTGTCTACTGAATCTATTGTTACTGTTACTGTTGTTGTCGTTGTTCCTGTCACTGGAAGTTCTCCTTGTGGTTGTTCTTGGTCTGACGGTGATAGTGCTGAGGATGATGAGGATGGTAGTGGTGATGGTAATGACACAGCCATTACAGCCAGTTCTTCTTCCTCTTCTTCTTTCTGTTCAATTATTGGACTAGGATATGATGGGTGAACAGTTGCAGAATTATTGATTATTTCGCCATTATTATTACTATTATTATCATCATCATCATCGAGTTGGTCGACTGTTGGTGACAACGGTCTATTATCAAGTATACCATTCATATCACTATCGGCTAGTAGACATGTCTCATCGATGAATTCCATTTTACCATGTAAATTTATATCATCAGTTAATGATTCCAGTTGGATAGGCGATTCAAGACTTGAATGCATCCCAGAGGATTCATGCGCTACTGAATCAAAGTCTAAGTCTAAATCAGGATCAACAGCTTCTTCTTCAATAACTACATGCGACAAAAAGTCACCCATATCTTCACGGCTAATTAATCCAGCTTGTAGGGTATGACCACTACTACTATTACCGGTAATGTTGACTTCTTCGATTCGATCAGAGAGTAGAACACCTTCAGGCTGAAAATTAAATAAAAAACAAACAAAATAAGGTTGTGGGTATATAGGCAAAAACAAAAGATGAAAATATAATAATACACATACACTTTATTTTGTGGTGTGATCGGCAATACAGCCTAGTAGGCTGTGAGTTATGCCAAACTCATGATATCCAGCTATCGGCCAAAGCGTGTGTGTACTGTTCAGCCGTCCGCTCTGTCCTCCTTTATGAATGTGGGCGAGAAATGGCCATTGATAATAGAAGACATGAAAAGCCTGGCTAGCTGTCTTTGGTCATAGGTGGTCTAATAGGGTGAGTAATATTGAGGTGAGGCTTCGGTCAAGTGCTAGGTAACGAGGGGAAATCAAATCAGGTTGTGAAGTTACATCGATTGAAAGAGGTGGTTAGGGGATATGTGTTACGTATGCACGTATACCCGTCGCTTTCCTCGACAACGGGCAATGTTAGCTTACATAGGATAGATCAGGTTGGAAGAGAGAAGGCTAGTGGTAGTCAAACCAAAATATGACATCAGTCGGTGAAATCCTTGACAGTTGGTTTGAACGACGTAGGGAGGTGTAGACTGTTTGGTTGGAGTCCTCAGGATAGTAGGAACCAATGGCAGGAGACAATTGGTGATGCAACTCGAAATTGTTGTCAATGGTGGAAATGCATTCACTGTTTGTTATTCGTCGGTAGCACAGGGGTTAGGACTCTCACCGACCATTCACATGGTCCGGAGTTCGATCCCCTGCCGACACACACCCGATATCTATGGTTGGCCTGGGAAATTTGGGCTACCGATATCAAATGGTGAAAATTCCATACTTGTACCAAAAATACGGTGTGGAACCAAGCTGTGATCAAAAACAAAAAATAATAATCAATAAAATTCTGTTGTTCTTCCATGTTACTATTCGTTTCACCTCACTCACACTTCTGTTTATTATATCTCTTTACTGTCTTCTCTTGATTTGTGTGCTACATGGAGGGAACTGGTGCATTTCTGTGCAAAGTTTTATGTTGAAACCAATCGGTTAGTAAGTTAACAAAAGCTACTCTTATCGTTGGTTACAATATTAATCACCATCGAGATGCTAAAAGAAGAGAGAAGGCAGACCCGTTGATAACAGAACTTCCACTGTCTCAAACAACAGTTAGAAGAGTTTACAGAGATCCCACCTGAATGTATTAGTTTTAAATTACCTTGAAAACCACTGAAAAGTAAGGAGAAGTTAACCACCAATGAGTGTTTAGCCTTAACAAAGTGTGGGAAATATGAAAAAATGATATGAATGCGCGATAGCTGTAAAATACAATCCCTTTAAGCTTATAAGTAAGTGTGTTAGAAACAAAATTCGAGGTATATAACAGCTTAATCAATGAGTAATATAATAATATAGCGAAACAAATCCGTAGCGCTTTCCTTTGCGCCTCTTTGAACGAGTAGATTAGAAGCGGTAGTTACGTGTGGCTGTTTCAAAAGTGTTTTACCGACGTTTTTTCTGCACAGCCGAAATATCTACTGCAACATTTGCTATAACACGCGCGAAAACACCTCACGACCGCTTTCATCCTCACCTAGAATTAAGCACAATATCACCTTTTTAAAATGAGTGCTTGAATATAAATGTATATATATATATTTGATTTTAGAGCATTTAAACAAACGAATATTGAAAATGGTTCAAGGTTTCAATTTCATTTAAAAATAGTTTAGCATAGGTAAATTGATTCACTTACATCCCAATTGGCAGTTTTTTGATTTGAAATAAGTTTAATACCTTTAGAATTTGAATGTTTTATATGACGAAAAGTTGTAGTGTTACTACTGCTTTTACTCTTAATGTTGCTGCTGTTATTATTTGAAGAAGACGAAGAAGCACCAGCAACATGATGTGATTTATTCGCTATATAAGATACTGACAGTTTACGTAATCGTTTTATCATAGTAGCTTGAAGTTCAATACGTTCTGCATTCTCAGCTTCTTGAAGTCCTAATTGAATATTTAGATCATCTTCTTCATTCATTATGCCTTCTTCTTCTTCGTCTTCATAATCATCATCATCATGATGATCTTCTATTTCATCGATTTCTCTAGCATATTCTCCATGGATAACATCAACAACATTATCAGTGTCATTATAAATGTCATTAACATCATTATCATTGTCAATATTATTACTGTGATCTGCTAGGCGAATAATATCTTCACTATTCATTTGTAGATTATTTAATAAATATTGTAGATCTGATGAATTTATTTGATCTGTATATGAGGAGAGATCAGAATTAGCAGGTACATTTGAATTGGGATCATAGTTTTTGTGATTGTGATTGCGATTATGATTATGATGATGGTGATGATGGGAGTGATGTTTGCCTGGTGAGATTTCTGATCGACAGTTTTTAAAATCATAAAATAAAATTAGTATAAAACAAGTAAACAAACGAATCAATAAATATAAACTACTCCAAAAAACACAGAATACTAATTTCTGACGAAATCTACATAAGAATATTTTTTCTACGAAATTTAAACTACTTTTCATTTTTATAAGTAGAATACTGATTGTAAACGAAATAAATGAAATCGGAAGCAAACAAGTTTAACTATACTGGTGACTCTAGAGGACTATAATACTGTCGATCTTATGAAATTGATTTCTAATAATTGAACCTCGATTTCTTCACTAAAAGGGTAAGTGAAATTAAGTGTAGAGAAAAACCTATTTTGCCTCACATCTAGATTGCGTTCAGTTAACAAATCAGCCAGTTTAAGTTGAATTGGGGAGTGGTGGCAAGATTACCCAGTCTCACATCAGCACACGGATAGGGAGTCAAGTGGAAGTGAAAGTGATACTGTAAGCACCGATGTAATTTTTAGGACTTAAATGAATATAGTGTGTGAGTGCAACTGGACAGCTTCAAATAGTTTGAATAATATCTTTTGATATCTGAATTTCCAACGACGGGACATTACAAGTTGCAGTAATGCCAAGGTTTATCTAATGCGTGGGTGGTGCAGTCGTAGAATGCTTGCCAACCACGCGTGTTGTCCAGAGATCGATCCCTGGCCAACGCACTCCTCAACTCTATTTAGCCGGTATTAGGCCCAATAGAGAAGGAGGATTGGGCGGGAGGCTAGCAACCTTACCCTGTAAAGATAAAACCACGGCTACCGAGACTTATAGGCACAGGCTTGAAGCCCTAGATTCCACTAGGAACGCAAAGGAATAAAATAATAATAATAATAGTAAGAATATTTACCTACTACCAGGTGTTGCCTACTTCATTCTCATTTTAGCTCAAATTCACTGCTAAAGTGATTTGGTAACTGGGCGTTTGTATCAAATATTTTAGATACATTTCCATTAACGAAGTTATTTCCATCACTTAGAATTTTACTCTTAATCTATGCAAGCGCGCACAGTAATTATCCTGGATACTAGTAATGTAATGTAATGTAAAAGATGCGATTGAGAAATATGGTTTCATTATAAACAAACATTTGGCAGGATAGTAATATACTTGTATGTCAACAAGAAATCAGGTAATTCATGCATTTGTTCCCCTTCATCAATTTGAATAAAGCAAGAACAGCAATAGTGGTTTGTGCAGAATAATATGGTACCAGTATTGTTTATTTCGTTGGCTCCTCATCATCTGCTCGCAGCCTAAATAAAATTATTATTAGGTTTGTAAACAGAATAGTTTTAACATACTTGCAAATTTTACATGATGTCAGTTGACGCGAGGTTCTGGACTCAGTGAATAATGCTCAGAAAATTACGCTTATATAGTTTTTGCACAGGGAGTTCAAGTTTAAACAAAATAAATGTATGCATACAATGGCAAAGGAGTTTCTCAATAGAGATGAGAGATGCGTAAGATGCTGAGTGACTAATGAATTAGGTAACAATTTACTGAGTTCAACTCAAATCATAGAAACAAGAGACAAGCAGTTATTAGTCTTTCCTTGCCATGGTAACTGGATGTCTTTATTCTTTCTCTCATTTGATTAAGTAATCTTTGGCTTGAACCTCACCTCCCTTTTATAATTTCGCTTGCCTCTTGTTTCTTTGATTTGAGTTGAACTCATTTAATTGTTACCTAATTCATTAGTCACTCAGCATCTTACGCATCTCTCATCTCTATTTAGTAACTCCTTTGCCATTGTATGCACACATTCACTTTATTTAAAATCGAACTGCCTGTGTAAAAACTATATAAGCGCAAACTTTTGAGCACTGTTCACTAATTGCAGAACCTTCTGTCAACTGACATCATGAAAAACTTGCAAGTATGTTAAAACTTTTCTGTACATTAACTTTATAGTAATTTATTTAGGCTGTATGCAGCTGATGAGAAGCCAACGAAACAAACAATGATAGTACCATATTATTCTGCACAAACCACACTGTTGTTCTTGCTTTATTCGAAGAAATCAGGTGTCACACTGGTAACGGGAAATGTGTGAACTCGCGACAAGCAGGTTGATCATTTTGCACATATATGCCAAGATTACGTCGATAGCCAACTGATACTGCCAAGCTAAGAGTGAAGGAGGTTTTCATAATGATTCCTAGTGTGTCCATGTCTTATTACAACTTTTATTGGGCAGAATAATACTATCCACATGGAAAAACGGTTACCGGTGGAATTTTCACAAGTCAGCTTCAATTCCTGGCCAACGGATGCACGCTTAAACCTCGTCTAGTTTGTTAACTGGTGGCAAGGACAGGAAAAAAAAGGGGAGGCTGGCAACCCCATCCCCTAAAATCTACGCCTTCGCTAATATAACTTTGAAGCTTGTATCTGTATGTTCGATTGAAAACGCAAGGGATGAAAGTAGATATGAAGAGATTAGGTATCCTTGATGGATACTAAAAGATTAGACAGTAATTTAGTCAAACAGAGTCACAGGCACATTGGATGCTGATGGTTATTTAAGCTTACTACCAAATTGCTTATCACCACTAATATTATCAGACAGTGGTAAATGATACTGTACAAATTCAACTCACCTTCATCAGAAGACTTTGTATTGGCATGCATAGCTGCGATCGATTGACTTCGTATTGTGTTGTTGTCTATGGCTGACAACTGGTGTATTGCACGTTTTTCACCGGAAGTTACTGCATCAGATTTTGTTTCGATTGTTGTCGGAGTGATAATCTTACCTTTGTTATCCCTTACAGTTTCAGATGGTATATGATGAGGCGTTCTCGATAGTCCTGGTACAGATGTAGTATTATTATGGTCATAGGTTTTATTTAAAGTAGTATCGATCGGGACATTTGTATTTCTTGTTAATCCAACTGATGTTAGATCCATACGAGATCCATTTGGGCTTATCATAGGACTGTTGGGCTATTAGGTTAACAAAATAGGTTATAGTATAAATTAAACAACCAGATATGTATTTCAAATAAAAAATTAGTACGCTAAATTACGGAGTAAATGATGTACCTGGTATTGTATTCTGGAGATATTCATATATATATATGTTGGAAGTTTCATTGGAAGTAATTTATGATCATATTTTGATAGGCATCAGCTGTAAAAATATTCTTCTCGACTTCATTGATATTCGTCTACCTAAATGATGTACATCAAACAGTGAGAAAATTTATGGAACACGAGAGATTTATCTTCCCCACCTTTTTGTACAGATGACTGCAGGCAGTCGAGAAGAAGATTTGGAACTAGATTTAGTGCTTGTTCACATCTCACAGATTTCTTGACTACCTAGCATCATTTAGAGAAGCATTGGAAAACCAGGTAGTACTGAACAGCTGTTTTTTCCTACTTTGGAACCCTTCAGTAGTACTGGATCAGTTAACGATCATGCCTGTGACCAATCAAATACCTGCATACCAATACTTGATAAACAATCTGATGCTCACAAGCAACCACCTCTATACAGGAATTTGCCTGGGGTTCTATTGAGAAGTCTTGACCCTACCAAGTTTGGCAAGAGGACAGTGGCTAGTGGTTGCGCTGGCAGGAGTTGGAATTCATGGGCCATTAAATGGGGTCCCAGTGGCTGAGTGGTCTACAGGCTCCTCTTGCAACCGGAAGGTCCTGAGTTCAAACCCCGGTGTACTGATGAGGAGCCCGAAACTAGGACGAAACAAGTGTTCAGTACTCCCTTTTTTCCCAGTGGCTCTCTAATTGGTGTTAGCTGGTGACCAAGCCTATAGCCAACCAAATCCCTGAGAGCCAACACTTGAGAATCATTCACACTTGTCGAAAAGGCGCATCTGACACCCCCTTGTATATTTTGGCTTATGTCACCCAATGAGACATTCAGCTGTCAACTGAGTTTCCTTAAGGTTTTACTCGTGCCTCATTAATATCTACTAGTTAACTAAGCAGAGCTTCACGCCGACTAACACTCTTCAATATCTAATACGAAGCACTACAGTTTTTTTTATTCCTTCACGTTCCCCCAGTGGAACATAGGGCTTCAAGCTAGAGGCTTGAAGTTTCTGTAGCAGTGTTTATTTTTACAGGATGAGATTGCTAGCCTCATGCCCAACCTTTCCTCTTTACCAGCTTTGTTACTGGTTGGGCGAAATAAAGGAGTGCGTCGGCCGGGGACCGAACCCCGGACCATGTGCATGGTCGGCAAGAGTCTTAACCACTGTGCCACCGACGTACGAAACACTACAGTGTGAAACACAATTATGTTGATTGGCAATAAACAGCTAAATGCTTCACTGTTCACCAGCTGATTCATACGGTCTAGCTCGCAGTATACACTTCTATAAGATGCTATTATCAGATGATGTTTTACACATGTCTGCTAGTCCATAACCTAAAATTAATGTACACGGAGCTTAAACAGAGTTCTGAGCTCGAACCCCGGTAGGTGCGTACTGATGAAGAGTCCCAAACTAGGACGAAACAGCTGTCCAGTACTCCCTGCAGGTTTTCCAATGGTTCTCTAACCAATAGCAGCTCATGTTGAAATCTTGTAACCAATCAATCAATCAAATCCCTAAAAACCAATACTTGAAAGTTAAGAATAATTTTCAAGTTTCACTTTGTGGGGATTCGTTTTAATTTCAAGTTATATTTTATCACAATTCAATATCAGTTAGGCAACCATTGAAAGTCACGCCAAAGGTGGGAAAAAGAACTTGAACAACTGTTTCATTGTAGTTGAGCTGTATATGACTAATTCGCAGAATTTAAAATACGCGGCCCATTCTTTTCTGTCCTAGTGGATGAATGGATAACGTGCTAGACTAGTAACCTGAAGGCTGTGGGTACGACCTCTGATTTCCAGTGGCTCTCTGACTGATACCAGTTCATGGCAAAATCTATTTAGTGGTTAAGATTATTAAAACAACGAAAAATTAAGGAAGTTATACATATATACATATATTTAACGCTTAAATTTTCAGTTGTTAGATTTGGTTAAGAATCAACATCAGTTAGAGAAATCACTGAAAACCAGGGAGCACTGGACAGCTGTTTCATCCCGTTCGGGGACACTTCATCAGTGCGCACCATACTCCTCACCAAGGATCAAACCCGACAACTTTAGGTTACGAGACTGGGCTTGTTTGATCATTCAGGCATTCAGGAAGGAATTGAATGACAGCTTTAGTAGGAGAACAGTCAATTGCCTATCTTATTGGCTGGTGGTTGCCGTATATGTCGCAAATTGGCATAATCTGGAATCCATTGGAACATTGGATTGGTTCCCAGTGAGTGAATTGTCTACGAGCTCGGCTTGTAACCAGAATGTTCTGAGTTTGAACCCCACTGGAATGGGTGCATACCGATGAGGAGTCCCAAACTAGGACGAAACAGTTGTTCAATACTCCCCACTGGTTTTCCAATGGTTTTCTAACTGATGTCAACTCGTGATACAGCGGTATCCTCACCAGTGTCCTCAATGAGTATCCACTTCATCTTGGCATGGTGGACCCTACTAGTCACGAATTCTCGCTACAACTTAAGGACATCCATTCAGCAGACATCAATCAGCTGGAGACTGATATTTACTTAGATTATCTAATTTGTGAGGATTTGGATTGATTCCATTTTCAATAGTTAGATTTTTTTCACAAACCAACATATATAATTCTGATGAATAAAGTTAGTAAGTATCTCAGTCTTTTAAGTGTAATTTCATTAAGGAGAAAAATAAAAAAAACTTACATAACTTAAACAGGATAAATCAATATCATCACAAATGGTTGTATACTCTCGACAAGTGAAATCTGGTGCCCGATAAGAGTTATGACCGAAACGACGATTACGATTACGTCTGTTAAGAAGGAAGGCAAACACGGACAGAAAGAGAATGTATATATATATATATATATATATATATATAATTTATTAATTTCAAAGGACATATACAAACACTGACTAGTTGAAGACTATCTTTGAAGCCACTCGACAGTTCTTCCACTTCAAGTTCTGCTTCATCTATAGCTTACTCCTTACAGATGTGAGAGGAAGTTAAAGGTGAGATTCATTTTGAAGAGTAACGCAGATGACCAGTTGTTGAAAATCATGGCATGCTAGATATCTACTTTGTCCTAATTTGATACACCTACTTACTTTACTTTACTTCGGCTATCTCCTACGGGAGGATGAGCCGGCTTCATGAACATCTCGAATCATCGCTGCCCAGGCGCGGCGATCTGATGCAAGGTTTTGTGACAGGGTTATCCAATTCTTGTTCCACAGACGGAGTCCGTAGACGGTTTGTAGCCCCAGGCACTCCATATCAGCCTTGACTGTACCAAGCCATGTTTTCAGCTGTCCACCCATGCGACATCGCCAAGATGGTAATGGAGAGGGATTTAGAACTGATTTGACCAGATCGTCATCTGGGCTGCGCAGAACATGGCCAAACCACCGAAGGCGACGTTGTTGGACCAGTACTGGAATTTGGTTGATGTTGTAGCAACGACGACTCACGAGAGTTCATGAAGTTTCATGGGAATTTGGTACGAGTGATGTCCCCAGAATCTCTCGGCCTTTTGTTTGAGAGTGCAGCTCTAGCCTTTACACAACCAAGTGTGACCTACAAGGCAGTAGGAGTGGAATAGGGAGTCCACTATCCATTGGCAGCCGGTGACCGGAGTTCGGTTCATACGCCTTTTTGAATGGGGCCAGACATCCAGGACACCCAACAAGCCCTTTGTCCATACGTCTGCCGGTGAGCTGTAGTGAGCTTCATACGCCAGTCGTTAGAGGTTTGGAATCAGGGTTTAGCCATCTCCCCTAGACTGTCATCCAATGGACAGTCACCTCAGTAAATTAACGCCTGGAGAAGGAATATATCCATCCCTAGGGTGGACTACTGTCAGTTTTTGAAGTAGGCACATTATGATTCATTCAATTACAGTGAGTAGTGAATTGAGTAAGATTATAATATTATCTTGAATAGCGTTAACATTACTAATTATACTACTTATATTATAATCTTCAGTAGTATGAGTAGTAATAGGGTTGAATCAATAGAAATATTGGTCCGATACCCTACCAGTTGAGCTGCAACACCCATCTGTTAATCGTGAGCTTGTGATGTTCAAAAATTCTTGAAACTAACCATGTGATCTCTGATCAAAAGTTCACACTAGGCTGGTTGAATGCACGGTGAAATGTAAGGCTAGTAACATCTGCCTGTTAAACCTTAATTTCCCGGCAGTTGTCTATCTGATACCAGTTATGAACGTCACTTACCGTAAATTCATGTTTGTATATGAAGGATAGTCTGTTGAAGTTCGTTTCTAAAGCAATGTGATTGTTTATTTGTAACTGAATTTTGATTTTCTCGCTGATTGATTGTACCGACATATGTTCGGCCTCTGTTCACATATCGTCTCCTTGTGCGGATGCTTCAAACGATGTGTAGGGATTAACTTGAAGCAATTTGCTGGATGGTGAATAGTTAGGGAATCGAGGAACCGTACTCCACCCTACTTGGGACTCATCAGTCGGATGTATCTGCATTTCCAAGTGAGTGATCATGTTCCCACTGGAGCTCAAACCCAGAGTCCATCGTTTCACAGTGCTATTGTACTAGAGCCAACTCTTGTGCAGCGGGTGTCAGTTATTATTTCTTTTAATTCAATTTTTTTGATTTTCCCAGACGACAAGTCTCAAATAGGACAAGATGGGCATCCTGGATTTCAAACTGTCAGTCACCACCCAGCAGTTTACTTCAATTTTTACCTTCCAAATCGTGCTCATGAGAAAAAACAAGAACAAAGCCTAACCTAGAGGAACTCAACAACTAATCACAGCAGACTTAGCGTGGTCGGATACGATACGCAGGTATATCACCGGACTGTCTAAGAAACGGCAACAAAGAGATGACAGAATAACCTTCAGCAGGAAAACAACCAATCAGAGAAGACTTTGCTTCTCCGCTAACAATAACGCTAATAATAATTTACATAAAAATCTAAAAATATCTCTTAATTTTCTCAATAAACGATCTGCTGCCTGGCCCTTATCTCCTATCATTACCAAGGTAGTCCGTAGAAATAGCATCCCTATATGAATTATAATGATTACTAGAAATATATAGAGCTGCCGCCACTCGATACTGACGTCCAGATGGTTAATCAGAAAGGATAGGCTACAACAAGGAATTCTGTTATCCAGTGAACACCAGTCAACGGCCTATTGCCAAACAAGTATGTAGAAGGAAATAGAGATGGATTGGACATATGCTGACACAACGCTGAAGTCCCTCTAGTGGAAGGCGAATGGTAAGCAACACATGAAGAGAAAGTGAAAGCTTCTGGGGTTGTCATGACGTCTCATTTGAAAGTGATACCAGATAACTAAATGAAGTGAAGACGTGCCAATGAAGTTCTATGCTTCATTCAGTACGCAAAGAATAAGTAATGAATTTAGTAAGGTTATTTAGTATACTGTGCGTCGGTGGCACAGCGGTTAGGACTCTCGCCGACCATGTACATGGTCCGACACACACCCGATATCTATGGTCGGCCTGCAAAATTTGGGCTACCGATATCACATGCTGAAAATTCCATACTTGTACCAAAAATACAGTGTGGTTTCAAGCTATAACCAGAAAAATAAAAATACTTACTCATACATACGATCATAATGTGATCCAAAGAATTGTACATCTGAATGTGGTAAAGTAAGATGATCATATGTAGGCGTTGAATATCTATGATCTGTTCGACTGCCACGATGTTTCATACGTACTGAACAACTTGGTGATCTTTCATGATGCATTGAATCTAAACAACCTTGATATGGGCGTGAACTGAATGATCCAGTTGGTGGACGTGAACGTCGTCCAAGTTGTGAGATTAAAGAACGAATTAAATGTGCTGTAGAATCAGAATTATCTAAATAAAAGATGTTATGAAGAGAATAATGAGCATACGGGTGAATGAATATTTCTCACTTCATATAATTAATAATAATAAAAAAATGAAAGTAGGGGGGATGGAGAAAATAATCATAAACTAAGTGTGTGTGTGTGTAGGGGGGTTAAAATGAATATACTCCAGGTTCTGGTGGAAATATAAACACAGTATATCGACATTTTCTTTTGCGAGTCAGTAGCAAGAGGAAGTAGTCAGAAGTACTATCCATTTCCTATTGAATCGTGTGGGTCAGATTTTCAGGACAAATTTATCTCACTGAATTCATCACGGGTATTGCACAGTTGTCATGTGAATATGAATGAAACTCCACTATCAGTTCACAATTTGTCAACTCTTGTATCTTACTTATTCTACTTTACTGCTCCCCGTTAGTCTTTCCTGGGCTACTGAAAAAGGACCATGGCAACCTTAGAAGGATGTTGAAGGTAGTCAGTAGGACTAGTGGTGTAAGACTCAGACAGCTCGTCACTACATTAGTTGATAGGCATCTGAATACATGCAAAAAATGGTCAAAAACCATACTCCCCGAACCCAACACCCCCTCTGTTCCCAACTCTCTCCTTGTATCTCATCAAGTACAACCAGAAATCAGTATAAAATAATCTATGCTCGTACAGCCAAGGACAGGAACTCAACGATACTACACTAGGCCCGTGTTCTAAGTGACAGAGACAATGTTAAGCGTGAAACGTATGACTTGCTTTGTTATTAACAACATAATTTTAGGCTCTTTTATTTCTCTCTTATTTTGTATTCTATAGTGAACTCCTTCTCAAACATACTTAGCTACCTAAATTATTAACACTGGCTTCCTTTTTTGTACTTAACTATATTCCTTCTATTGTGTATCCACTGGTTCCGACTCTATTAGCACTATGAGTATTACAAAATTGTCCTGTCATTAACCATCATGTAATTATTAGTTTTGTGGTTGTTTTTTCTTATTTTCTATACTTTTCGGCAATATTAAACTGGCAATCATTGGTTGTGAACGCCATTGTCACCACCTTAAAAAATTTTGTATTATTCAGGATTACTCACACTACCACTACAAACACTGCACTAGACCTGACAATAAAAAACAAAACAACAACCCTGAAATGTTATTTTATGATTGTTTAGAGTTGTTTCAATCAAATTAACTGACCATCTTGGCGATAAACATTCTTAAATATCATTTCATAACTTCTTGTATGACTATAGCTTTACTGTCACCATGCATAATCATATCATAGCTTCCACTACCCAATACTGAGATATTATTATATGCTGTTTATTTTTCTTTCTACTTCTTGGTACTTTTTCGTATTTATAATTATTTTGTGTTTATCCTGTCTTTTTTGCTGTTGGTGTCTTTAGATTTATTTTTTATTTTTATTTTTTTGTTAAATACTCCTTTTAAATGTCGGTAAAATTAGATGCAAATATTGTAGATATGTGCTGAAAATTCCACACTGTACCACTAGTACTGTTTCTGGAATAAAGCAAATTATTATTATTATTATTATCACACTAGGTGCCCATTCCGGTCTTATCATGTCATTCCTACTCGTACTGACTTAGAAGGGGTGGTGTGGGGTTGTCAGATCATGGTGATACTACCCAAGATAGACTTGGGTTGGTACAGAGCTGCTGACGTAATAGGTAATGGTTCAAAATGACTGGAAGCTGAAACTTATTAGGTCTAACTTGTATCGATTTATGTCACTAAAAGCAATCCCAACAGAATGCTGGTTTTCATCAACAACAGCTTCCCTCCTTCATTGAACCAATCCAACAAATACACACAGAAAGTTATGGAGATGGACTGGGTATACATACACTGAGAAGACATGCAACAGTTGACAACACACTTTAGCCTCTCGAGTGGTAGCGACCAATCGAGCATCCGAAGCTGACATAGAGAAGGTCAGGGGAAAATGAAATGAAGGCCTTTAGGCACTCATGGAGCCAATAGGAGGTGATGGCGGGGTGCGATGAAGGCATGCAGCCGAGGCCCTATGCTCCATTGGGAATGCAAAGAACGAATAATAAGAAATAACTTCATTGTAGTATTACATTGATTACTACTCAGTGGATTTCCATAACCTATGAGATTGTTCATGGATAAATAAACCATAACTCCATTATGAATAAGATTTTATTTTGATAAATCACACAGTGTTTGTTATACAGTAATATTAACTGATGACCACGTTTCGAGCACAAACTATTGCCGCTAATAATCATATCAAGGCATTACTCACACAACTTTTTTTTCTTTCATTTATATACATGTGTGGACAGCTGGGAAAATAGTGCTCTAAATACATTTAATCCTACTACAAAAATATGGTGGAGATATGTGGATGACACTTTCACCGTGTTAAAAACAGAACATATCTCTAGCTTCTTGACACACATATAAACTCACAAGTAGAAGGAATAAAATTCACATTCGAATCAGAAAATGAACAAGGAGAATTAACTATGTTAGATTGTAAGATAAAACGAATAGAAGAAGGCAAACTACACACTAGTGTTTATAGAAAACCAACGCATTCTAATAGATATTTAGACTTTTATTCGTCTCATCCGTTAACTGTTAAAGCAGGCTTAGTTAAGTGCCTGACAAACCGAGCAGTGGCATTAAGTAGCACAAGAAAAGACCTAAATGATGAAATAAAACAGATAGAAGAAGCGTTGGTGTTGAATAACTATCCTGTAAAATTCATTAGGAAGATCAGTAAAGGTCAAAAACAAAATAAAAATAATTGTGAACCTAATAGTGATAACATAAATACGAGAGAATATAAGTCATCTACAGTTATACCATATAAAGAGGGGACATCTGAGACCCTACGTAGGATTCTCAATAAAGCAGGAATCAGGGTGGCATTCAAACCTACAAACTCACTCACAGACAAGCTTTGTAGGTTGAAAGACCCGGTGGACCCAATTAAGCAAAATAATATAATTTACAAAAAACCTGCAATGACTGCGAAGTCAACCACATAGGTCAGACTAGTAGGTCGGGGGTAGTCAGATTATCAGAACATAAGAATTTACTACTAACAAACAACCACACAATGGGGTGGGAGAGGGTTAAAATTCTAAAAAGTAATATAGGTAGGTGGAGAGAGGCGTTGATTACGGAATCCTTATTCATCGAGTCTACACCCAGCACATGCAACAAAAATGACTCAATACAAATACCAGAAATATGGAAGATATTATTACCGACAGTCAAATCAGAAGACGATAATGAGTAATCTTAAAATTCTATTTCAATTCAAGCACATCAAAATATTCTAACAAGTAACTTATTACGGCTATAAAAGACACTCGTCTTATTTCCCATCTGATTGTAATTGATTAGTAACACTCATATTATTATTTCTGAATGTACACTATCCTATACTGATTTTTACTCAAATATCTAATGAATTCCACTCATGTATATAAATGAAGGAAAAAAGTTGTCTAAGTAACTTGATATGATTATGAGTGGCAATAGTTTGTGCTCGAAACGTCATCAGTTCATATTACAACACTGTACAACACTGTGTGATTTATCAAAATAAAATCTTATCCATAATGGAGTTATACTCTACTACAGTGCCCAGGTTTTATACTTATATCAATAAATAAACCATTTACTGTCTGTATTATCTCATCTGCAGACATTTAAACAAACAAACAGATGTGTATTAGGAGGATGAAACAAAAGAGGTGAGAGAGCGGAAAACAGAGAAACATACCATTTTGCGTTGTATTCGCAGAATCTTGTGCCATTTGTTTTTTAAGTAACCACAAAAGACTCGATGTAAATATGAAGTCTCTGTCATGTGAACTACTACTTGCATGAATAGTTGATGAGTCATGCGTATTATTTGCTAATGATGGCGTTGTTGGCGTTGTCACCGGATGCTCTATAGTAGTTGTATTACGATTACTATTACTATTATGTACATTTGCTATTGATGGACTAACAGGTCCTGTTGGATGTAGATTATCCTCCATATAGACTAGATGTTCTTCAACTAAGTGAACTAGTCCACGTAGATGACGTTGACGTACATGAATTTCTTCCATTCTGAATTGTAGCTTATCAATTCTGTAAGAAAAAAAAAAATTTAAAGCGAAAAGCGATTATACTCTGCGTATTTGTGTACGAACAAGATGATATACACTTGGAAGGGTTATGTACTCCTAATATTTGTCTATAATCTTAAGATAGATGATATATTTTGCAGTTATCGCGCGCGTTCCTGTCGCGCTTTTTCTACTTTCCATTGTTTGTGAAACCTAAAGTCTCATTGACTGTTAACTCTTTTAAACTTATAAGCGAATTTAGGACTTGTATAGATAATTTAAAATCTGTATATTTAGCTCAGATAACATCTTTCCAACTACTGGTGGCACAAATGAGGATGTAAAAGATAGCCAGGGTCAGGAGTACAAGACAGACTTTCAGTAGTCTGAAATCAGTGTGAAAACCTATTGCGTTTAGAATAACGAGCATGGTTAGGACTTTCAACCCTAATGTGATTCTATGTGGCTCAAAGGGTTGGCGCATCATTAAAAGCATTCCCAACAGGCTACTGTTACTACAGCTGGCTCTGACTGACTGGTTTCAACGTAGAACTTTGCACCGATGTGCAGCAGTTCCAGTTGCCATACTCCATGTAGCACACAAAGTATGAGAAGAGAGTAAAGAGAGATTCAAAAGAGAGACAATTAACAGAAATATGAAGCAAAAATAATAGTAATATGGAAGAACAATAGAATTTCACTGGATATTATAAATCACAAGGAGTGAATGCATCTGAGCCAGCCGTTGAGAACCATTTTGAGCTATATCACCAATTGTCTCCAAACATTGGTTTTTATCATCCTAAGGGCCCCAACCAGTCAGGAAGTCAACACCTCCCTACGTGGCTGGCTTAAACTAACTGTAATGGATTTCATTGACTGATGAAGCCATGTTTCGGTTTGACTACCACCAGCTCTGTTCCAACCTGATCCATCCTATGTCATCCAACGTTGCCCGTCGAGGAAAGCGATGGTTAGACATGCATTCATAACACATATCCTAACCACCTCTCTCAATCGATGTAACTTCACAACCTCGTCCATTATTTTTCCTTCCTTACCGAAGCCTAACCTCAATATTGTTCACCTTATTATACCAATTAACACGGAAGACAGGAGGCAGACACCTATAACCAAAGAAAGCTAGCCAGGCTTTTCATGTCTTCTACTTTCAATGGCCATGTCTCATAGCCGTAAAGGAGAAGAAAGTGAACTGCTGAGCAGTACACACGCCCTTTAGTCGACAGTCAACCGGATATCACGCCCACACTAGAGATGGGTGGCTCGATACTGGAGATCAGATGGTCAGAAAGGATTAGCAACCAGGAGCTCTTGCAACTAACCAACCATGAACCTATTGCCCAACAGTTATGTCAGTGAAAATGCAGATGGATTGGACGCAGGCTAAGGAGGCTGTTGAGTGACATTACACGCCAGGCATAACGTTGAGTGGAAACCACATAGGAAATAGGGACATGAAAGAGATCGTGTGAGGTAGAATTGAAGGTCTATGGGCTATTGTGGAGCCAACTAAAAAAGAACTGCAGAAAGCATGGGGAAATGGCGGTATCCTGATGAAGCCCTATGTCGCAGTCACAACCCAAGGGAATAAGCATAATAGTAATAATTTAGCCTCATTGTTAAGTGATTTGACTGATATTTGAGACGGTCTGTCCTCTGTCTTGTTTTGACATGCGCACGGTATCGTTGTCGTTTTAGTTGACACTGTGATAGGCTATTGGAGTAGTTTTCATTACAGCACTCGATTAGTAAAGCTCGCGCATTCAACTAGGTGGTATTATCTGCCATATTAGAAAGCCTACATAAAATGTCTCTATTCATAAATTAACATCGGGCTAATTTCTCGAGATATTAGTGAGAAAGCAGAATACCAAATTAATGCTTTGCCTCATTTTGAATTGCACAAAGCTAACATACAGTTTCGCAGTAAATATTGATTATTCATAGTGTTATTACGCGTCGGTGGCACAGCACTAGGATGCTCGTCAACCGCGCAGGTGGTTCGGGGTTCGATCCCCGGCTGACGCACTCCTATACGTCGCCAAGCCACTAATAAGACTGGTAAATAGGGAAGGTTGGGAATGAGGCTAGCAACCGCATCCCGTAAAAATAGATACCATTGCTACCGGAACTTCAAAGCTCTAGCCTGAAGCCCTGCGTTCAAATGGGAAAGTAAGGGGATAAAATAAAAAAATAATAGTGGTATTACAGTTGTATTAATTTACGAACTCCAGTTTCCGTAGGTAGTGGTTTCAGCATTAGTCTTAGACATTATCTACAGAAATAGTTTACGACACAGTGAAGTTTGGTATTTTTGTATTCTGTGAGCTGATTGTAGGCCTTACCAACGAAGCTTTCGTTGTTTTACTACACAACACCTTCAGCTCTAGCTTCGGTGAATGAAGTGCACTTTAGGAGTTCCACAAAGATGAAATATCCATCTTTTCTGATGAATTTGGAGGATATATCACTCAAAGAGATTTTTGAAAGCCGACTTTACATTGGGTCTATTTCTGAAGAAGTTGTCTAGAAAGACACTGAAAACTTTTGTAATTAAACGGTCCAACTCATAGAACACTACAGCACAAAATCTTCTCTCCTATTTGAAGTTAGGTGGGGCATTTCATTTACCCAGTTGGTTAACTCGATGTAACTTTCCTTCTGCTCCTGTGGAGCCGATTAGTTGAATAGGCCGTACTATTAGAGGAGCGTTTATCGTCGGATTTCCGCAAATGCCATCCTGTGTGGTTAAGTAAAGGACAAACAAAATACATTCATAGCTCTCTCTCTATTCTATCTCATCTCGTGGATACAGAACACCAGATTGATGTTAACGAGGCAGCTTTCAAAGTCATCTATCGCATACCAAGAAATCTTAACTTCGCCTGAAGAGTTCGTCTACCACATATTGTTGAGGCTGGCTGTTGGGATCTACATTAAGAAACCTAAATTATGTATCCAAACGAAGTTGGTTGGCTGAGACACTATCCTTACCTTGGCCATCAAGGTTTTAACTGTCCTTAATTTATTGCATAAATCCCCTTAATTTTATTCGATATTCTATTTAGCATCATATATTTATGCTTGTTATAACTTACGTGTCTTTCTTGAACTGTAATTTCACTGATCTTAACAAATCGATAGTATTTAAAAAACCACCAATATTGTTAATGACGATTATTTTAGAATATTTTGTGTATATACATATATAGATATATAATTGTAGAGCCAGAAGGGAAAATTATCGAGAAGAATATTCTTTGCTCAAATTTCCTGTTATCTGCTAAATGTCTGAATGAATGTTTTCGCTTTGTTAATCTGTTGTTGAAAGTCTTATTTTTTCTCTATAGAACTTTGATTAGATAGTTGGAGACAATCGTCAGGAAGCCTTGGACTTAGGTTTCGTGCCAGTTGGCACTCGTCAGTAAGGCGTATCTGCAACTACCTTGAAGGAACTCATGTCCCTTCTGAGATTCAAACCCGCGTCACCTAGTGATGCAGTCAGAGACGTTACCACTGAGCTATTTGGGCTCGCGACTGACCTTCTGTAGGACACTAGTAACTACTGTGATGTGTCTAGTCCTTTCTTTGGTGTAGACTGAATTCCTGCCAATTACCTCCAACTATCTAATATTATCAAATCAATGTGCACCGTGATGGTGAGCTACCTAGAATAGTGGTCACATTGCAAACCTGACTGACTGATAGAATTCAGTCTGCACCGAAGAAAGGACTAGACACGTCACACTAGTTACTAGTGTCCAATCAAAAGAACTTTGATTAGCCTACAAACTTCTAAATATCTTTTCTTACTTGATACTGTCTAGAAGTTGTTAGGTTGACCGGGAACATGTGTATGTGTGTGTGTGTAGGTTAAGTCAAGCTGCACTTACATTGAATATTGGGGAATTTACATAGTATACTTTATCATTGTTTCTCTTAGAGGGGGGGGGGGCTGATACACTTTCGTGTTTGCTCTAAGGCCTTGAAAGTATAATGTTCGGTTTCCAAATTGAAGTTGGAAGGCTATCTGCTGGACTTGTCAATGATCGGAAATTATTTATTCCCGACAGTGTCATGTTTCTAGGGGGGGGGTTCACACCCACCCACGAACACAAACACACACAGCCTTCAGTAGTAAAACGATAGAAAAGATGATACCCTCGAGTCATGATAGAGGCTTTATCAATGAAGATTGAAACTCAATGGGCCATGCATAGAGCTACTATAATAGTTAGAAATATTCATCGTCATCATTACTGCTTACTTTTTATTTAATATTCCCACTTGACCTTCTTCTTTGTGTAATTCAGCTCTCCGTGTGACACGTGTATAGTCTTCTACGCATTCCTCTTCAAAATCATGAAGTTTCTCGACTTCATCCGGATTCAAAAATAATTCTAGATTTGGTGCAGTGGGAGTAAAATAATAAAGCGATTCGTTGAATAGAATTATATAATAGAAAAGAGTTTTATCTTGTAAACTTAAATCTCAAATGATGAGCATAATTTTATTTTTCAAATTTTTCTACCCAAGTGGGACAAACAGCTTTAAGCTTTCGAAGTCACGGGTAGCAGTGGCTGTCATACTTTTACGGGATGGGGTAGCTAGCCTTATACCCGACCTTCCCTCTTTGACAGGCTTACTACTGGTTAGTAAGCCAGATGAGGCTTAGTGGGGCTTCTAGAGGTCGAGGATCTTTCCCGGACCTGACATCTACCTGGCAATCGTTCTACCAGTAAACCACTGGCCGATAACTGACTGATGTCAAAGGGAAAGGTGGAGTGTGTACTACTTATAAATAGATACGAGTAGTACATCGAGTAGTGTTTTTGGAGAGGTAGTGATAATTTATGTGTGTCTATGAAAAAGTCTCTCTATAGAAGTAACAGAAGAAGACAGTTACTATTCTGAAGAGAATTTGAAAAGTGTAGGCTTGTGCCATTGTCAAATAGTGGAATTAATGCATGTTTTATTATTTTGTTAATGGTCGTTGTAATTTGTCCTCATAACTATTAGATTTGCCTTCAACTGTCTTGTTCTCTGCAATATAACGAATTTGTTGACGTCAACAAAATAACTACTGGAGTGCCACTTGTTGACAGGAAACATTCCCAATTCAGAATAGGAGGACATGGAGATAGGCACTTTAAACTTTGTGACTGCTTAAGAGCAGTATCAGGTAGGATAATTCTAAGGTTTCCTGGCTATATCTTCTGTCCACAGCAGAATTTTTTGCTACATATTATTATCATCATTGTTCCCACGAGTTCCAATTGGAACATAGGGCTTCAGCGACAGGTCTACACTTCGTCCTATTCTCTATTCGCGTCTATTTAGCCGACCCCACGACTGCCCATAGTCTTTGATCTCATCCCTACACGACCTCATCCATATCAACATCGGATGCTCCACTAGTCGTTTCCGATTTGGGTTCCACTAGAGGGCCTATCGTGCGATGTCATTCAGCGTTCTCCTCAAGGAAAACCCTGAAATGTGTTTAAAGAAATGGTTTATTCAATTCGCATGTTTTTTTACTGGTGTCACAGCAGTTCAGGGTTTTACTTGAGTCGACTGTTGAATGACATCGCACAATAGGCCCTCTAGTGGAACCCGAATGGGACACGACTAGTGGCGCGTCCGATGTTGACACGGAGGAGGTCGTGTAAGGAGGAGATCGGGGACTACGGGCAGCCATGGGGCTGGCTAAATAGACCCGAAGAGAATAGGACGAAGTGCAGACGTGCTGCTGAAGCCTTTTATTTTCTAAAACTCTTACTCTTATAGATAATATTCCTCTTTCCAAAAGCTTATGGTTTTTAATGCTATCCATTTCTGAGTGATATTCGTCAACTAATGTTTTTTTTACACGTTCAATCATGAGTTAACTTAAGTTAGAGAACCACTGGAAAACCAGATTGTGATCAAAACTGCAGACAATCAAATCCTTTGTGGTGGCCGCAAAATATCAAATTATAGATTCACCGTAGAATAGTAAAATTATGGTTATTACGTGATATTGAACAAGGACACCACCTAGTTCCGCGCGCAATACAGACGACACTTCTTCCTCCTCCTCCAGCTTCTCGCTTTCCACATCTGCCAGTCAATTCTGCCTCGTAGCTGATCAGTACATCCACATTAGGATCCCTTTCTCCAATCTACGTTTCTCTCCGCAAGTACCCTTCGGTCATTGGCGCCTCTTACGTGTAGTGAGCATCTGTATACCCAAGGAAAAGGACTATTTCATACCTACCATTCTAAACGTCTATATTTGAATATTTTGGGACAATTATAACTTTTTTAAAATAACTGCATTTTATTTGTATGTTAATTTATGTTGACTGAATACTCTTCTACATGCATGCATGCTTGTATTTGTTTTGTCCCTTTTTATTTTGCGTATAAACCAATCTAGACGTTTAGTCCACTACACCTTGTTAACTGACGTTTGAAAATTCATTATGGATAAGATTTTATTTTGATAAATCACACAGTGTTGTTACACAGTAATATTAACTGATGACCACGTTTCGAGCACAAATTATTGCTCATAATCATATCAAGCTATTCACACAACTTTTTCCTTCATTTATATACATGTGTGGAATTGACTAGATATTTGAATAAAATTCAATATAGGATAATGTACATTCAGAAATAATAATATGAGTGTTATCAATCATATACAATTAGATGAGAAATAAGACGAATGTTCTTATAGTTATAATAAGTAATTTGTTAGAATAATGTGATGTGCTTGAATTGAAATAGAATTTTGAGATTATTTATTATCCTCCTCCGATTTGACTGGTGGTAATAATATCTTCCATATTTCTGGTATTTGCATTGAGTCATTTCTGTTGCGTGTGATGGGTGTTGACTCGATGAACCAGGCAGGATTCAGTAATCAATCTCTCTCGCTCGCCACCTACACAGATTACTTCTTAGAATCTTAACCCTCTCCCACCCTATTGTGTGGTTGTTTGTTAATGCATGAAGTGCAATTGCTGAGCTTTTTTCTAAATTATTTATCTTCTCGGGGTCAACCATTCTTACCTTAGCCACTGAATTCTTATGTTCCGACAATCTGATTACCCCCGATCTACTAGTTTGACCTATATAGTTGACCTCACAGTCATTACAAGACCTTGTAATATCTATTAGAATATGTTGGTTTTTTATAAACGCTACTGTGTAGTTTACCTTCTTCTATTCGCTTTATTTTCCATCTGATTGTAATTGATCAACAACACTCATATTATTACCACCAGTCAAATCATAAGAGGATAATAAATAATCTTAAAATTCTATTTCAATTCAAGAACATCACAACATTCTAACAAATTACTTATTATGACGATAAAAACACTCGTCTTATTTCCCATCTAATTGTAATTGATCAATAACACTCATATTATTATCATTTCTGAATGTAGATTATCTTATATTGATTTTTATTTAAATATCTAGTCAATTCCACACATGTATATAAATGAAGCAAGAAAGTTGTGTGAGTGAGTGAATTGATATGATTATGAGCAGTAATAAATTGTGCTCAAAACGTGGTCATCAGTTAATATTACTGTACAACAACACTGTAAGACTTTATCAAAATAAAATCTTATCCATAATGGAGTTACAGTCTAACACAGTGCCCAAGTTTTATACTTATATTTGAAAATTCATGTTTGTAGATTACAATAGGCTACTTAATCAAGTTTCTCAGTTTAACCCTTTTTTTTTCCTTCCTGACATATAATTTCATGTATTTTGTGGACAAGTGATATTAAAAATTACTGACTTTTATGAATATTTCGCTAATCTTTTAGAACAGTATATGTAACTGTTGTACATCTGTGAGGTGATGTTATGTAAAAAAGAATAATCTTTGTCTGCAAAAGGGTATTTTTCATACTTTGAAAATGAATTCACTGAGAAAGAAATTTCATCTGGCAGCTGTTATTCGCCAACCACCGATGTGATCCGGGGTTCGATTCCCGGTTGACCCACTCCTTAACCTTACTAAGCCAATAGTAATGTCGGTAAAGACAGAAGGTTGCGTGGGAGGCTACTCAACCCCATCCCGTAAAAATAACACAGACACTGCTACTGAAAAACTTCAAAGCTCATGCTTAAGGCCCTATCTTCCACTTGGCGTGTAAAAGAAATAATAAAAATTTTAAAAAAAAGAAGACTCAAAAGATTTCTTCGCTATCATGTTAAAACACGTAAATGATATTCACCTTTCTGATTGACTGTATCAATAATTTAGAAAGGAAAAATAAAAGGGGAAAATTAAAAAACTTACTTAGACCAGCGGACAGCTCAGTGACAGGATCAATTCGTGTATCACGTGCTTCATGATGATCATGTCGATTTGATGGTGTGTGTGATGATGGAGCAGGTTTTGTCAGTGATTCAGGTTTATTCATTTTATTATTGTTATTATCATCATTATCATTTGGACTAGGTTGTTTTTTTTGAGTGTCATCTGAGACAGTAGAACTTGACAGAACAGACATCCTACGCTTTTTACGATTTCTGATAATAATAACAGTAAGGAAAAAGGTGGAAGTAAATGATTAAATACATGGACAAGGAATGAAATTAATCTAATATATATATGTATGCTCAAGAATTTGTCTGTAGGGAATTGATTTGTTTCAAGTTCGAGCACGGATTGATATCAGTTAGAGATCAAGGGAAAATCAGGGAGTATTGGACAAGTATTCTGTCCTAGCTTTGGTCTCATCGGCAGTAAGCACCCACAGGGTTTCGGCCCCCGGATCTTCCGGTTGTAAGGTGAACTTGTAGACCATCCATCTACTGGGACCCGACTCAACGGCTAACCCATGAATTCTAATTATGGATAAGATTTTAGACTTTAATTCATCTCATTCGTTGTCTGTCTGTATGTGGAGGCAGGCTTAGTTAAGTGTCTAACAAACCGAGCAGTAGCATTAAGTAGTACAAGAAAAGACCTAAATGATGAAATAAAACAGATAGAAGAGGCGTTGGTGTAAAGTAAATATCCTATAAAATTCATTAGGAAGATCGAAAAAAGCCAAAAGCCAAATAAAAATATTAGTGAAACTACTAATGATAACAAATGAGAGAGAATATGAGTCATCTACTGTGATACCATATAAGGAGGGGACATCTGAGACCCTACGTGGTGCGATTGTTAATAAAGCAGGAATTAGGTTGGCATTCAAACCTACAAACTCACTTAGAGATAAGCACTGTAGGCTAAAAGACCCGGTGGACCCAATCAAACAAAATAATATAATTTACAAAATACCCTGCAATCACTGTGAGTTAGGTCAACTATATAGGTCAAACTAGTAGATCGGGGGTAATCAGATTGTCGGAACATAAGAATTCAGTGGCTAAGGTAAGAATGGTTGACCCCGAGAAGATAAATAATTTAGAAATAAGCTCAGCAATTGCACTTCATGCATTAACAAACAACCACACAATAGGGTGGGAGAGGGTTAAGATTCTAAGAAGTAATCTATGTAGGTGGAGAGAGAGATTGATTACTGAATTCTGGTTCATTGAGTCTACACCCAACACATGCAACAGAAATGACTCAATGCAAATACCAGAAATATGAAAGATATTATTACCACCAGTCAGTCAAATCAGAAGAGGATAATAAATGACCTTAAAATTCTATTTCAATTCACGTACATTATAACGTTCTAGCAAGTTACTTATTTTGACGATAAAAACACTCGACTTATTTCCCATCTGGTTGTAAGTGTTCAGTAACACTCATATTATCATTTCTGAATGTACATTATGCTATTTGAATTTATATTCAAATATCTAATTGATTCCACACATGTATATAAATGAAGTAAAAAGTTGTGTGAGTACCTTGATATGATTATGAGTGGCAATAGTTTGTGCTCGAAATGTGTTCATCAGTTAATATTACTGTATAACACCACTGTGTGATTTATCAAAATGAAATCTTATCCATAATGGAATTATACTCTACCACAGTGGCCAAGTTTTATACTTATACCATAAATTCTAACTTCTACAAATTCGTGATCCCTACAAGCAAACTTGAAAATTAGTCTGGTACTCACTAGTCACTGGTTGTATAATGAAGTTGTTTGGAATTCCAGTGAGAAACTGTGAGCAGTGGGATCCACTCGGTTGAGAGTGAGGACAGATACTCGCTGATGACAACTGACTGGAGGTTGCTCTATATATATCGAGAATCGGTATAGGTTAGAATTCATGGGTCACGTCCCAGTGTCTGAATGATCTATGAGCTTGCCTTGTAACAGGAAGACCCTATGTTGGGAACTTCGTGAGCGCATACTGCCAACGAGTCCCAAACCAGGACGAAACAGTTGTCCAATACTCTCTGGTTTTCAGTAGTGCTCTAACATATATATGTTGCACTAGGATAAGTGAACATATTTCTAGGAACTAGCTATATTTCAATACTAAGTGTTGGTTAGAGTTATAGGCATACTACATAGAAGCCACCGATAATAGGAAATACAACTCTAAAGCTATATTCAACAGCAATTGTATAGAATATTTATTGTATTAGGGAGGAATAAAAGGAAGTGGAAAGCGTAGTAAAATATGTGCATAGTAAAATAACTATTGACACGCCTACATGTTTTAGTAAAACAAAAAGCTATAAATGACTAACCTTCGTATGCATGGAAAGCCACACTGGAAGACAATGCAGCAAATACCAGACCTTTTGAAAGATAATTAAGTAATGGTTAAAATTATACTTGCTGTTTTCACAGAAAAAACGTTTAAATAAATGAATGCATAAAAATTAAAGTGGTTTAAATTATTTTTTTTTTTACTTGTCAGAAAGCAGCATGAACTATAGGAAGAGGGAATGTGTTTGGTAGAGGGCTAGTGGTGGAGCAGACAGACTAGTTATGTTACCGACAAACACTTCCAACTGAGTATATCAATTCCCGTGTGTCTGCGGGAGTAGTTGCATTGGGAGAACAGAAAGAAGGGCCCGTGATAGATAGATCTTTTGAACATTCAACAAAGAGCCTCAGATTAAAGAGATCGAATAGATTGGATTCACCAATCATCAAAGACCTGATAGACACAGAACACTAAGCAAAACGCGTTGGAATCATTTAGAATGATTAAAAGACAGAATAGCCCAAGTTTTCTTTAGTTTGATGAAGCTACCGCAATAAAACTGATAAAAACCTAACCTATGTGTCCAAAAGGAATCCATCGATGAACTTCAGTAACTCTGGTAACTACCTTATTAGTAACTCTTTGTCTTCTGATTGCATTCTTTCGTTTGACTTTCATTGTTAAACTTATTTTTCCCTGATCCTTTGAGTTCTATGCATTGTATTACATCACCGTTATCATATTTTCACTCGAATTCTTACACACCAAACTTTAACTTTTAGAACTTCTGAGTTCTACTCATTCTACTGAAATCTGTATATAAATATATATATATCATAGAGTAGATAGTATTTTTAGTAGATCTCAACGGTCCTTCGCGATTCTCTGTAGCTGACAGTGAGCCACACCTGTTGTATGGGGGCTAATGTTACTACCTGGCTGATCACCAATATCCCCAGTGGTAGCAGATATATTCATGAATAAGTGGGAAAGCATAGCGATTGAAACGTTCAATCCCACCCCAAAAGTATGGTGGAGGTACGTAGATGACACATTCACTGTACTTAGAACACAATATATAGATAGACTTTTCAAACACATCAACTCGAAGGTTGAAGCAATTCAATTCACTTATGAATTGGAAAACCAGGAAGGAGAGCTCCTAATGTTAGATTGCAACGTAAAAAGGAAAGAAGATGGGAAGTTAAACACTAGTGTTTACAGGAAACCCACACATTCAAACAGATATTTGGACTTCCGATCATCCCATCCTATGTCAGTAAAAATAGGATTGGTGAAATGTTTAAATGACAGAGCACAAAAGCTAAGTAGTACCAAGGAAAATCTAAAACAGGAACTGATACACATAAAAGAACCCTTGAAACTTAATAATTACCCTGATAAATTAGTCAGGAAATATGTAAGGAAATGTAAAAATAAAATAAATAATGATACTAGCGATAGTGATAATAACAATAATAACGATAACAATAATAATGATAATAATACTGATAATAATAATATTAATAACGACACCAACAATAAGGAATCTAAATCATCAGTTGTAATTCCATACAAGGAAGGAACCTCGGAAACCACTTTACGGAGAATTCTTAACAAGGCAGGAATACAAGTGGCATTCAAACCCACAAACTAAATTAGAAACAAGCTTTGCTGGTTAAAGGGTCCTGTAGAGCCTTTAAAACAAAACAATTTAGTTTATCTCATACCCTGCAATGATTGCCAGGTCAAATACATAGGTAAAACTAGTAGAACAGGGGCAGTCAGACTAGCTGAACATAAAAACTTAGCAAAATCTAGATTGGTTTGGACATATATAATCTAGATTGGTTGATCCAAATAAGATTAGAAATCTAGAGAATAGTTCATCTATAGCACTACATGCAATTACACACAACCACACAATAGGGTGGGATAAGATGACAGTTTTAAAATCTAATGTCACTGCTGGGTGGACGGAGAGATTGATAAAAGAAGCTTTGTTTATCGAATCAACTGCAAATACATGTAATAGGAATGATTCAACATCTGTCCACCCAGACATCTGGAGAATTCTACTACCCCAACGACAACAAATAGGAGAGAACAAAGAAAACTATAAAACTCAAGTTTCGAAGTTGTGTGATTACAGTTGATATGATTATGAACAATAAATTTTGTTCGAAATTTTGTCATCCAGTAAATAATACTGTTTCACTGTGTGATACATCTGATAAACACACTAATATGGAATCTCCTTTTCCATCAGAATACTTTTCGGATAATGTATAAGTTTCTGGCTGATAAACTGACTGTCATATTTCCGCGTTGCTTGCCTATCCTCTCACACCGGCCATTTGACCTGCAATATCGAGTCAGAAAAGGCAATATGTTGGTGAGAGTATACAGTAGGCTGTTTGAAATACTTTTGGTGAGGTACACATAAGTCTATGGATCATTTAGAAGCAATGAGTGATTGATCTGTTATTAGTGCTAATGTCCAGTAAATAATACTGTTTCACTGTTTGATATATCTAATAAACAAACTAATATGGCTGATCAAATCCCAGTCGATGGAGTAGTGTATGAACTTACGACCTAGTGGTTGACAGGAGAACACCTAAATGTAAGCTCCACAAATCTGTGTGCAATAAAGTATTGAGACAGGCCGAAAAAGAGGCTCCATAAGATCTAGACTTTGAGGATGATTTGCGTTTCATGTCGTAAGAAAAAGCAAGTTTGCAGAACAGACGGTGAAGAGAAGACTCCATGTGATGAACGCAACGAATACAGAGATAATGAAAATACCCAGCCAATGACAACAGACGCTAATCACCATCAATGGTGGAGATCTAATAAAAGAACTCTCCTCTGTCGCTTATTTCGGTAGCATCATTTCACCTACAGCCAGCGGTATGAATGAAGATGACAAAGCCAGTTGAGAACCAGGAAAGCAAGATTGGCTTTAATTTCTCTGAAATCAATCAATGTTGAGATCTGCAGCACTTAGCACAAGAAACAACATCGAAATTGTTTTTTTTTTAACACTGATGTCAAGTCACTGCCTCCATGTTGTTATTCATAGAATTAGCACATCATTAAAAGCATTTTCAACAGGCTACAGCAGAATTACACGAACAACTGACTTCGCTACTAGCTCCATACTGAAAATCAGATGGTTAAGAAGAGGTGGATTGGAGATTCAAACCAGCCACATCACATATCAAGCTTTGGAATGGAACCCAAATGGGTAGTCGAAGACTTGGGCGTCTGAGGACGATAATACAGAGGAGATTATGTCCGGGGGGAGGGGGGTGGAGAAGTGTAAGCCTACGGCTAGTTGTGGAGCCAGCTGAAAGGATTCATCTTTTATTTACGTCTGATATTATCCATCTTACCAGCTATAGAAGATAAGGCTAAACTTAACTACAAAGTTTCATCCTAGTTTGGGACTCTTCATCAGTACACACCCACCAGGGTTCGAACTCGCAGAGCTCACCTTGTGACCAGAGGGTTATGGGTTCGAACCACGGTGGGTGCGTACTGATGAAGAGTCCCAAACTAGGACGAAACGGCTGCCCAGTACTCCCAGGTTTTCCAGCTCATGATGCAATCCTCCATGCAATCAAACAAAATCCCTACAAAAAACCAATACTTGAAAATTAACTATAAAGTGTCAGTCATAATTTAGAGGAAAAAAGAGTGGAAATAAGATTGAAAATGACATAAAATGGTTGTTGTTATTATTATCATAATTTATGTTATCAGTTTAATTGTGAGAAATAGATCACATGTATACGGGGAATGGAGTGGAATAAATTGAAGTGTTGATGAAAAAACAAAGAAACAAGAACGAATAAGGTAAAAAAATAAATAAATAAATCAACAATTATTTATTCACATTAATCGACTTTGTGACCATCAGCATCACCATGGTCAAGTGGCAATAAATCATTTGATCGAAGATCAGCTGCTAATGATCATTTGGAGATTTATATTTGAGATTTTTTATTGAAATCATAATATGACAGTTAATTTTTTCTGTTTATTAAAGTGACAGTTTTTCAAAAGAGGAATTTTTTTCTTTATTTATGCTGAGAGAAAAACACATATTCAATATTTAAATGAACCATTCGCTTAATAGGAAGTAGTTAGATTTTTCGGTTGATTATGGTGACAAGCAATGGAATCTATACAGCACGTTTTGTTCTATTGGGGACTTATGAGCTGGATGTATTCGCTGAGACTCGAACCGTCTACCCATCGATTCAAATGTCAAATAATGCGTATCCTCGGGTCTAAAATATTATTATTATTGTTCCCTCGTGTTCCTAGTGGAACATAGGGCTTCAACTACACGTCTCCACTTGCTTCTGTCTTCTGCTGTACTTTTCACCTGCATCCATGTTAGTTAGTCCATACTGTTTCAACTCCTCTTCACACGATCTCCTCAATGTCACCCTTGCACCGACGAACCACTCACCGCTTCCCTTTCGGGTTCCACTTGAGCTATGGCCTGACGCGCGATGTCACCCAGCGACCTCCTCAGCGAGTGTCCAATCCATCCATCTCCACTTTCTCCTGCATATTTGTTGAGCGATTGGTTCTTGTTTTGTTTGTTCCTATAGTTTCTTGTTGGTTCTTGTTCTTTCCGGCCATCTGATCTTCAGCATAGAACGAAGACAGCTGTTGATAAAGGTGTGCTACCTGTTGGAAATATTCTTTGTGATCCGCCAAGTTTCTGATCCGTATAGAGGAACTGACTTGATGTTTGTATTGAAAATCCGAATTTTGTTGTTGATGCAGGCTGAGTGACGGAGATTTCCAGATTGGTTTCAGGTTGATGAATGTGTTTCTCACCTTCCCGATTCTCGATTTGACATCCTCGTCCGTTCCTCCTGTAGTTGAGACAATGCTCCCTAGATAAGTGAATGAAGTAACCACTTTCAAATCCTTCCCGTTGATGGTGATTGGCGTTGGATCTTGCTGCTGTTGTTGCTGTTGGTTGATTATTTTCATAACCTCCGTCTTGTCTATGTTCACCTGGAGTCCTGTCTTTGCTGCTTCTTCCGAGTATAAAATAAATTCACGTTAATCCTAAGTCATTGTTGAAGTGTTCATATCAAGAGCCAACATGTCAACAGAGAACGAACATTTAGGTCAAACATAAACAATCAGCATGAAACTCAAAATTAACCTAAGAAACTAGATTGTATCCATTTTATGGTGGTCAGCAGTAGAATCTAGACTGCCACTCGATATATTACAATGGACACGATATTGTAGCTCAGTGGACTAGGGGTTAACGGTTTGGTAAATGAAGCAGTGCATAGTACTAGGTTCGAGTCCTAGTGGAGAGATACTATAAGTCACTAGGGGAGCAGACACACCCAACTGATGATTCCCAAGTACAACAACACTGACTTTCTGCTTCCTACTGCTCGCCATCGCTGGACAGAAATTAGATAGAGAACTACTGGCCAGTAAACACATCTGTTTCATCCCAGTATCAAAATTTCACAGAGGTTTTAGGGTTAGCGAAAGGATGCTTGTGAATCACAATGTGAGGTTAGTGTTTAAGCTGTTGGCATTCTGTAGTGAGCATGTGAGAGCTCTGAGACGCTAGTGAATTTATTCGTTAATCATAGTGGCTTAATGGTCTACGAGCTCGCTGGCCCTGTAACCAGAAGATCCTGGGTTTGAACCTCCCATGGTGGAGGCGTATTGTTGAATAGTCCCAAACTAGGATGAAACAGCTGTCCAGTACTCCCTGCAGGTTTTCCAATGGTTCTCTAACTGATGTTAGCTCATGATGAAATCCTCCAACCAACAACAGTAATAATAATAATGACATTACTATTTGTGTAGAGAAAGCTATGCCCTCCTTATCACTGTAACGTTAGAAGATAGTGAAATTGCCAGTGGAACTACTTAATTTCAACTCGATACACAGATATAAGCAAAAAACGTCTACCGAATAGTAGAATCACAATTTGCATATATCTTCGTTATTGTTCTGTTTTCTCTTCAGTATTGTTCTTCTTTATCTGCCTGCCTTGTTTAAAATATTGTTTCACAAGCATCGTTCATTAACTTCATTCCTCTGGCATTCGGCATTCTTGACGCTGACACACATATTTATATCTGCATCTATATGCTACTTATAAATCTTTTCAGTAGCACACGCTGGATTACTACATTCCTCTTAATTTACGCCTAGTCATTGTATCTGTCGATTGTCTGACTGACTGATTTATCAACGTAAAATTGTGTACAAAAATTCATCACACAAAGTTTCTACACTTCCAATCATAGCAAATAAAAGTACAGAGATGAAACATAATGAGACTACAGTAGGCAAACGGTTAGTTGAAAATCAATGAGCATTTTAAGCGTCAGGAAGATGACACAGCACGTGGATAACTTCGGAACTGTGAACAACAACAACAGTCTTCAACCGTCGGTTCTTAGCAACACAATAACCCCTGTCATGCAGTCTAAGCCTCAACACATGGCCCAAACTAACAGTGATTGAGACAATGGATTAGTTCAATGTTTACCTTTAACTACCCTTAACTCGGTTCCAAGCCGATTCTTTATCAGTTAACAGTGCTCGTCGGGAAAAGAAATGGGTTAGCATGTGTGTAGCACTTATGTTAGCCATATCAATAGATTGATCTCAGCACAATTTCGTCGACTAGCTTCACCTCTTTACGTAGCATTCTACAGCTGACCTCACTACTGCTGACCATATTCTAGAAATTAAAACCAGAAAATGAATAGAGCTATCTGCAAGTCAAAATTGTAAACAACAATTTACGTCTATGTATACGTCCCAAATCTTGCTCATGAGAAAAAAAAACAAGAACAAAGCCTAACCTTCAGGAACTCAACAACTAATCACAGCAGACTTAGCGTGGTCAGATACGATTCGCAGATATATCACCGGACTGTCTAAGAAACGGTAACAAAGAGATGACAGAATAACCTCCAGCAGAAAAACAACCAATCAGATGACGTTGCTTCTCGGCTAACAATAACGCTAATAATAATCTACATAAAAATCTACAAATATCTCTTGATTTTCTCAATAAACGATCTGTTGCCTGGCCGTTGTCTTCTATCGTTACCGAGTCACCTATGGTTTGACCTTCCTAGTCTTTTTACATCTTCCAACTTAAATGTATATGACACAGTAGTTTGAAGGGTATGCGGATATCACGCATGCGTTAAAGATGAGTAAAGTCTTTAGATGTTAAATAAGCCTTATACATCAGTGCTACGACAAATAGAATGACAATATTATTGATATGAAACCACTTTATTTGCCCTAAAAGGTTAAATTTTGAAGACAAGACTGCCAACTAATTCGAAAACAAATCTATGACGCTATCAAGACGTTACCGATTTGTAACTTAACTTATTAAAAAAACTGAACTCCATCTCGGTAACTCAATGGTCAAAGGGACTCTTCTCACAGCCTGAAGGTAGTGGGTTCAATCTCAGGCAGTGAGGTCATGGGAGCGTACTACTAGGGACGCAACATCTTTCCCTGGTTTTCAGTGGCTCTCTAATTGAAGTCAATTTGCAGTCTAACTTGAAAATACTCACTATACACTAAAAAGTAAAATAGGATAGGGTATCATGCATTGACTTACCGATAGATATAACGTATAAACATATAAATCCATGAGATTATAATAAACGGTGGCGGTAATAACGGTCTTGATTCATATTCAATAATAACAGCATAACGTAAATAATTGTAGACTAATTCAGATTGTTGGCGAACACTAGCGAATATATCATTGAATACAGCGATGACAACATTGACAAATAGAATAATGGAATATAACAGGTAGATGACTGTTGCAATGGGAACAATTTCTAAAAATGGTGCAGTTTGTGATTCAACTGGCCAGTCAACAGCTAAAATTTACAAAAAAAAGAGAGGGGGACACAGAAGGATTAATTAAACATGACGAAGATAAGGAAAACGAAAAAAAACCCTCTTCAAAGTTTCAGTCAGTATATCATAGAGACAGTAAACCATTAGTGTGAATCGAAAATTGACTAAATGCAAAATATCATAAAAAAATGAGAAAGAATAGTGTTGCATGAAGAATAATGAGAATTCAATAGACCTGGGAGATCAGAATGACAGAATACAACTGCGGTATTGAGTACTATTTTGAAGTACATTATCAACTATTTAATTGAATTCTAGATTTTCCCGTCGATTGGTTGATTGGACCGAAGTGCTCGGTCTCAGGTTGCCATGTCTATCGGCTTCTTGTGACCAAGTGGCCCAAGTGGTCTATTGGATAACGCTTTGGCGTTTGAAACTATGGTCACTGGGTTCAAGCCTCGGTGGTGGGAACATCATCATTCACTGGGGAATGCAGGCACATACAGTTGACGAGTCCCAATTGGGACGAAACGCGCATCTCCGTCTGACACGATCTCCTCCATATCATCCTCTGACTCATGCCCACGTCGTCGTTTTTTTCATTTAGGTTCCACTGGAGGGCCTGACCAGTGATATAAGTCAACGGCCTCCTCAGCCTGTGTCGCCTATTCGCCTCCATTTTCTTTTGCATATTTATTGAGCAGTAGGTTCTTGTTTGGTTAATTGTCCGAGTCCCTTGTTGCCAATCCTTTCTGACCAGTTATTTGATCTTCACTATGGAGAGAAGGCAGTTGTTGACAAAAGTATGCAGCATTTTGGAAATAATTTCCATGATGCACCAAGTCTCAAAATCCTATAGAAGAAGTGACTTAACATGAGATGTTGAAAATCCGAATCTTGTTCATTATTCTCAGTGAATCAGATTTCAAAACTGATTTCAGAGTGATGAAGGCCTGCCGTGTCTTTCCGATTCCAGTTTTGACATCCTCATCCGTGCCGAGTGTCTGCCCAGATAAGTGAAGGAGGTGACTTCTTTGAAATTTCTTCCGCTGATAGTGTTTGGCAGGTTATTATCATCATCATCACTGTCCTTTCTGTGTTAACTAGAAGTCCTATCTTTGTTATTTTTCGCCTGTAATTCTTCGAGTTTAGGTGACATTAGGCAAGTAGCCGGCGAAGTTCACATCTTCTAGAGTTTTCTTATCGGTCCAACGTATCCCTGTCTTCTTGCTCCTCACAGTTTGACGCCTGATCCAGTCTACCACACTCAGGAATATAACCATTAATAGTTGACGGTATTGTCTTACTCCTATCTTCTCTTCAAAGGCTTCTCTCAGTTACTCGTTATGAATTCCTTGGAATGTGGTATTGTTATATATCTGTTGAATGAAGTTTATAGAAATTTAGGGTATCCTGTAGTGTTGAAACAGTTTCCATATAAACTGGTAAAGATCATATATCTGGCCTAAAGGATAAGCAGTAGGGAACTCTGAAGAGCAGCAAACCCTCCGAAAACTTATCACCCAACAAATATATAGAAGAAAGTAGAGGTAGATGCAGTATAAGCTGAAGACACCATTAAGTGGTTCCATACACCAGGTTGCAGAGTGGAACCCGAATGAGAAGCGTTGAACTGGGCGTGGGTGACATTAAGAAGATCGTGCGAGGAGGAAATGAAAGCTTGTGGGCAATAGTGAAGCCGGCCTAGGATGACTGTAGAGAACTGCATGAAACTGAGTTGTGACACTGAAGTCGTACATTTCACCCGGAAATAACAATATAAATAATAAAACAAAGAGGTATGTGTACGTCAGTTTACTTAATGGTTGTTATTTTTTGACATATTGAATTACTTTTAATTAACACGTCTATTCATACCGACATATTGTAACTTCCTTCCACATCGCTCTACTTAACTTTCAACCTTTCTAACATATGTGTAATAAACTCTGATTGCTTGATTCCTTCAGTATCAACTATCTTATACCAATGCCTCCTGCTTTATTACTGTATTGAGAATTATCTAATACTCTTCCAGTTGAAATAATTCCCAATAATATTATATATAATATATACTTCAATAATAATAATAATATTGTTACTGATATTAGTAATATTTATGCATTAACTGCGTAAATTGCAAATTTGATTCTCTGTATTACTAATCCGCAGTTCACACATCATGTGATTTGCATAATTTCCGTTTCAAAAGGAAAATTATGGTGAAATTCCGCTGCCTGGAACTGTGTAACCTGCACAACACGAATTTGGCTTATTCACCTTTATGTTAAATACTTGGAGACAATAGTTAGAAAGTCTTGGACCTAGATTTCATGTTTGTTGACACTTGTCAGCAAGGCGTCAGCAATCTTAAAGGAACTCATGCCCCTTCTGAGGTTCGAATCCAAGTCACCAAATGTAACAGTCAGAGTCGTTACCACTGAGGTATTCGGGTCGCGGTTGGTTCAATGTAGGACTGTAATGGCTACTCTAGGTTCACATCCTGGCCGAAGCACCCAGAAAACTTGCCTGGTAGGCAGGAGGACCAAAGAATAGGCGAGGTTAGGCGTAAAGCTACAAATTCCACCTCATAAAGCAACACAGCTAAAACTTGAGGCCTTATGCCCTACTCTTGGAAAGTAAATAATGACAACAAAGAAACAAAGAAAGTGAGGTAGACAAAGCTTCGAGAGAAAAAATTCCCACTCGCAAAATATTGCATGACTATATAATATGCTACTTATTAATTTTGAGTAAGTGGTGTTATAAAAACAACATTTTTACCAAATTGGTTCAGATGCTACAACTAGGTATAATTCAAAGCCCAGTAAGCCTGATGTTCGCTTGTTTTTAAACAGTTTTTCTTAATTTTGGTATTCTTCTAAGGGCTAAATAATTGGGAAGAGAGTTAAAAAATATCCTTCTTTACAAAGTAATTTATCAACTGGATACAGCTTGAACTTCCTATTGAATTCTGATCAAGTAAGTGATCAGTTTCGAAGTATCTCAGGTAGATTTAAAAGATTTCCTTAACATGTTTGTGTGATAGCAACTACAAGTTTTATTCTTCTGAAAAGAAACGTTATCACTCCAGAAAATACTTGTGAAGACTAGTGTTGCAATCGTATTGGTAGGATGAGAAAGGCAATGTGGCTTTATTACTCACTTTAACTTTGAGAAATTGAACCTCAGACATTCTATCTCAACAAATTTATCCTTAAGGGTGATCTGAGATATGAAGAGTGACCTGTCAAAGACAATACGCTTTCGCCTTTTTTGAACTACTGAAGCTGTAGCTATTCAGATAGAGAAACCGGACTTCTTTGCATAAAAAAGAGAATTATTCAACCACCTCTACTATAATGGCAATCACCCTGTTGTTTTCTGTAACCTTAATTTCTTTATTTTCTAACTCTTACGTAAAATATCTTGTTTTCCCTTGATCCTATATTCACCTGAATACAACTCATTCACTAAATTATTTGTCTCACTACATAACACTTTCTCTAACGCCTTTATTCAAGTTTTCTTACGTTTTTATTGATTAATAATATTAGCAAATATGGCTATGACAAGTCACTTCTCTTGTGAAGAAGACAAATAGCACAGCGATCTAATGCTCGCCAACAACGCGTGTGGTTCGGGGTTCGACCCCGAGCTTTACTTCGCTAAGCTAGTAATAAGACTGGTAAAGAGGGAAGGTTTGGCATGAAACAGGCTAGCAATTCCATCCTCTAAAAATAAACACCCCTGCTATCGAAACTTCAAGCGTCTAGCTTGAAGCCCTATGTTCCACCGGGAAAGTAAAGGAATAAAAAAATTGATTGTACAGCTAAGGAAAATTAATTCGTCGAAAACAGCCTCTTCACTGAACACTACTTGTCTTATTTTTTTATTGATGGGTATTATTTAATGAATTAAAAGTTAAATAACAATATCAGTTGATAATTCCTGGACAAGAACAACAACAACAGACAACAATCAGTATAAATAGGAGGAACCTGAAAGAAACAACCTCTTTTACCAACCTGGGAAGCATCGTTTCAACTACAGGCGGACGGGACTGACGAGGATATCAAAGCAAGAATCGGAAAAGCAAGACAAGCTTTCACTACTCTCAAGTCTGTGTGGAGGTCAACAGCACTCAGCATCAAAAATAAGATCCGGATTTTCAACTCCAATGTGAAGTCAGTGCTACTATACGCGTGGATCAGAGACTTGGTGCGTCATAAAGAGCATCTCAAACAAACTACAGACCTTCATCAACAGTTGTCTTCGCTCAATACTCAAGATCAGATGGCCAGCCAGGAAAGATCAGCAACAGAGGGGATCTCTGGGAGCGAACCAACCAGGAACCGATTGTGAAACAAATAGGCAGAAAGAAATGGAGATGGATTGGCCATGCTCTGAGGAAACCATCAAGTGACATCATTAGACAAGCTCTCGAGTGGAACCCGGCCGAAAGGGAAGCAGTGAGTTGGTCGTCAGTGCAAGGGTGACTTGGAGGAGGTCATGTGAAGAGGAGATGAAAACGTGTGGGCAGACTTGGAGCCAGGGGAAGACTCTAGCAGAGAAACGAACGCAATGGAGACGCACGGCTGAAGCCCTATATTCCTCTAGGAATTAAAGGAAACAATAATAATAATAATAATTATTATCATCATGTCAGATGAAATCGACATCAGACGGAAAATTAATCAAATATACTATAGGGTACAGTTGTATCTCCTTTGCATAAAGAAATCAATAAAAATAGGACTTTATTAGAAAAGAGTTATACGTGAACTTTTCTCCTATAGCTAACAGTGCTGTACTACTTTCTGCATCTTATTATTCCCTTTGGGTTCAGCTAGCTCCACGACTGTCCATAAACTTTCATTTTCTTCTCACACGATCTCATCTATGTCACGTTAGGACTTAGGCCCACCTTTCTGTTTCCCATTCGGAGGCCTGGAGAGTGAATTCAATTACTATTAGTTATCACTTATTCTTTTATTAGGTATAAATTACTTTGCAGTTA